ATTCTCGACGCCGAAGCAGCAGCAAGCCCATGTACGAACCGATCGGCTGGATGCGCAGCGGTATTTCATCATTCTTTTACACAAAAACATGCGCGACGGATGCGGGCCGGCCCCTAGGGGGCCTTCGGCAGAGCTATGGCGGTGCGCGTGCAACGGGGGACTGTGGACATTCCAGCCGCAGTATGCGAGGGACATCCCGAACTATAGGAAGACCGCGAGGATCCTTGCGGAGTGGTATGATGATTGATTGGCGGCCCTACCGTATCGGAGCGCACCGATCTACTGCGCAGACCTCAACGATGGACAGGGAATCAGCAGAAGCTCGGGCAGATGTAGTGGAGTTAAGAGATGCTGCGGGAGTTGGCCGCAGCAGAGAACATCGACGAGACGGGGCAGGGCAGCGATCGAGACGTGCGCGTGAGCTACGCATATGCTGGCCAGGAACACCCGTGCGAGGGACCTCCAATCCACTTTCTTTGGGGCGGCTGGTGGATTGAGCTGCGTTGATTATTTAGGTGCTCCTCTTGGTATGAGTGACTTGGTTCGCGCTTGCCATCCAGCGCGCAGACAGGCCGCATCTATCCAACCGTTTTGGATCCGACCCCCGCGAGACCACTTTCCTGCACGCACGGAGATGATACGCGTGAAATATTTCGCACGGAGGGAGCTATCGCCGATATTAAGATGGAACATGGACGCCTTGATAGAAGCGGTGCGGAGAGGAAAGCTGAATCCAGAATTCCTGCGCGTCGTGGGCGGGCGTCTACTGGGGGAGGAGGACACGTGGTGCGAATTGCTCGCGCGTGGACGACCCGACGAGACATTCGAATCTATTGAAAGACATGTTCATCGACGCGGGGCAGAGGTAATTCGAGGCGAAGATCGCGAACGACGCGAGTTACCAGCGGACAAGAGAGCAGCGCTAATAATTCCTTCGACGACGGGCAGCATTGCGATTACAACGCATGGATGCGGACGACATGGCGATGAAGGAATGCGAGGATCAATTGCGACAGATATCTCAACAGCTACGACTGCAACGCGAACGACCCCGGCGAGGGGGGCAGAATAATCCACTGCAGGAAAAAGACGAAGCATGGCAACAGCGACGACTGGCAGAGGCAATGAGACTTACGCGAGCAGCGGGGACACGTCGGTTTGGGGGCGAAGATGAGGGGCGGACGGTCGGCGCGTGGAAGTGCATTCACCGAGGCCGAGATGTCGCAATGTTGGGCATTGCCTGGCTGCGCGGGGGACATGCGTGCACGCGAACAGACGGTGCAGGACCTACTTGGCGAGTTCCCTGACCCAGGCCCTTGCTACATGACGTAAGTACTGACGACTGCGCCCTGGCACAAGACGACCGATGGCGAACGCAACAGTTTTTCAGCCGAGCGAATAAGCGACGGGCCGTTCCCCCACATGCTACCCCGACCGACATTTGGCTGATGCGCTCGCAGCCTCTACGCGATATGAGGACGGAGGGCCGTGGGTTAGGCTGCGATGTTACAGTGCCAGGTATGACGAAGTTTAATTCATTGATGGAGTCCGCCTCTCGCCAGATCCGCTCGACGAACAGAACGCCGATTGCATAGCATCATAGCCCAGGTGCACAGCTTCGCAAAAGCGCAGCTCCTGGACCAGGAGGGCGACGCACGGCGCGCGCTTTGAACCCCGCGGGGGAAGCTGTTCACCGCGACGTGCTCTCGGTGTCCCACAAAAAGTTTGAGCGCGGATTTGTGTGAGGCAAGCGAAGCGAGGATGCAGTCTTCGTTAATCAGATATTGGGCTGGCGACCCAGACAGACAGGAAGTTGTTATGCGAACCGTTGCAAAGATTTGAGCAACGCTTTCGCTGATGGAAACTGAGACGAGATCGATCAGAGAGCGAATGTGCCCGCTGAGCCCGAGAACGCGGACCTGTGCATCCAGAGGTTCAAGACGAGCACGATCACCCTGGGGACCATTGAGGGCAACATCGCGCTGAAGATTGGAGAAGGAGGATTGATGGGTGACCCTTATGTTGTTCAATTATTTGGAGGCGCGTTTGCGAGGCCGCAAACCAAGTGGAAGTACGCGACCAGACACCATGACCTAGTTGCTACCACGCTTACCGCAGAGGGGAGAACTTTGAGTGCAAACGTGGGGGATTTACTTATCCCGATGACTTAGTTCAAGTACATCTGGTTCCTGCACCTATTTCGATCCAGGGGTTCTTTGGCATAACGAGGGGGGCCGACGACCAATTGGGCGCGAAACTAGAGCGGGCATGGTACGCGAGAAACCCAGGCAAGGAGGAGCTTCAGATGCATCCACGCGGACAAGGTGCAAACGTTTGTCAGAGATGGGCGCGGGCACATCCAGAATCCTTTCCCGGGGCATTCAAGGGCGCCGTCAGATGCCTCGGCCCGATGATCAACATTGCGCAGTCGCAGAGACAGAGGCCAGTCGTAGATGTGCAGCGTGTGCATATTATTCTTGCTCGTTGGGCCGAGTGTGGTCTTTGTCTCGACCGTGCCGGTGGATTCGCGCGATCTGTTTGAACTGCGCGCAGAAAGACGCCCTGTCGGGCATCGAGCCACTCCTCCTCGCCCCTGGCCCATGCCAGAAACTCGATCACCAAATCGCTAAGTTCGGAAGACGGGCGATGCAGATGCGATTTACTACGCGCAACGACGACGGCGAAAGGATCAGGGAGATGTGAAGGGCCCGGGAGTTCGAGACCAAACTTATTATTCGCAGGCTGAACTGGCACGTTGGCTGGGCCAAGCCACAGCGTAGGCCCCTCGTCGCATGGGGGGGCCGCTGGGTCGGCGCTCTCTGCCTGCAGATGAGGCGGAGGGGCAGCGCGCGAGAGACATCGGGCCCAGATCTCCGTGGCATCCAGCGACGGAAGCTCCGTGACAACGTCCTGGTCGGTTAATCGTCCTGGCTTCGAGCTGGTATCTACGCGCGTCACCTCCGTAGTCCAGGTCCCCCGCGGCCCTCGGGTAACCCGCCTGGAGCCTCGCGGGGCGCGGGGGTACCTCAGAATTTGAGACGCCCCCAGAGAGATGACCACCCCGAATTCCAATATCCTCGAGGGGCCCGAACAACAGGCAGAGCTCCTGGGAGCGCCCGTGCTTGCGTGACTGGCAGCTCGATGCTGGGGCAGCTCGACCCGACGGGACCTGCTACACCACCTGCGACGCATGCATTATGTAAGAAACTTGCGCAGCATTGACCCCAAGAAACACATGCATTATATGCCGGCAAGTTCTCGGGCGCAAAGGAAATGCGCACACGCACTTCCAAAGTGCGACTCTCCCGGTCCATTGTCCAGGGCGGGGAACACGCGCTCTCTTCCTTCTACAGCGAGCGGTATCCTTTGCATGTATGTTGTGCGAGTGCCGAGCAGCCGGCTTGGATGATCTCTGCCATCATCTCTGTAGCCATCTCCCTCGAGACGTGCAACCTCCGATTGCACCCGATATCGAACTATCGCAGCTCGATGGGGCTGGAGGGCCCAGGGCGGTTGCAGTCGCCCCCACGCGCTGGGGGAGAGCAAGCAGAGCACGCCGCAGCAAGGACGTGGATGGGAAGACCCAAGCGGGAAAGGCAGACAGCGATATCATATTCCAGCTCGTCGTGCTTCTCTCAAAGCTTGCGCCCGCGGACAGTCGTACCCTCCCAGAGCTCTCAGCCGCAGTATACACTGTGAACATGATGGGCTTCGTAGAAGACGACTTCACAGACGCGATCGAAGGAGCAAGCCGCCGATGCCAGGAGCTGTCGCAAGAGCTGGCGGAGAAAAGGAAGAAGAGCGAGGCAGTACACTACACATCCAGGGGGCAAGCTACCATCCATGACTTCACGACGGCGGTCATGTTCCCCACGAAGCAGAACGCCGACTCTGGCAAGACGCTCAAAGACATGTACCAAAAGCAGCTGCAGATCACGCCGATGCCCAAGGTCGGGCAGGCGGTGCGTCACTGGCAGTGGAAGCGCAACATGAAGGGCGAGAACGCCGACAGCAAGTGCAGGGTCATCATGGCCCTGGACAGCAACCGCGAGGTGGCCAGCGTCATCATCCCAGTGCTGCGGGTAGCCATCCTGGACATGGGCGGGGAGCGTCTCGTCGGACCTGCGCCCCACGGACCACTGAAGCGAGCCGCCTCGAAGCTGCTGAACCAGCTGCAGAAGGCCTGAGCTCGAGCACGCGACTTCGTGAGTTGATTGCTGCAGGGCGTGTTCCCGCAGACGTTCTGGGAAGGCAGTGGGCACCCGCGCCCGCCATTTTTGCTTCTCCCACAGCCTACGGCCCCCACCTCCCGCCTGTCCCCGCGGCACAGCTAGGCCCACTTTCGCGTGCCAGGGGGCGGGGTCGGGGAGGCAAAGGGGTGAGGGGCCAAGGGAGAGATGTGGCATAATAGCAAAAGAAGCGTCTCGATAGGAACTGCTTCGAACGCGCGCAAGCAATTGTCCCCTGGAGGCGCTTCTCTGTCTGCCTGCCAGGTGTGAAGGGTTGCCTTTGAAGGGCAGCGCGGCCCCGTCCGAGAGCGGGGGCCGCCGAGTAAGGTTGGCGACCAGGAGTGCACAGCCCCTCAGAGTTCACGCAGGGCGATGCCCCGATTATTCGCTCGCGAGCAATCAAGCAGACGCTCGACCTCCAGGAGCCAGATCCCGATCCCGATCTATCTGCTCCTCCTCTTCCTCCTCCTCCCTTCTCCTCTTCCTCCTCCTTCTCTTCCTCCTCCCCCTTCCCCCTCCTGCTCCTCCCCCTCCTCCTTCCTCGTGGTCTTCCCCTGCTCCTTCTGCACCCTCTCCCTCTCATCTCCCCTCCCTCCCTTCTCTCTCCCCCCCTTTCCCCTTGCATCTCCTGCCCCCCGCTCCCTTGCCATCCTCCTCCTCCCCCTCCTCCTCCTCCTTCTACTCTACCTTTTGTCTCACTGCTCGCCTGCTCGCCCCATCCCCATCCCCCTCATCATCCCACGTTTCCGCCCTTCCCATGTGCGTCCGAAGGTCACGCTGGCACGGAAGTACGTTGTCGACAACGTGCTCGAGGTCACGGTCGAGGTCGCCGCGCGGGAGCGCAAGGAATACCAGGACATTAGAACACAGACACAGCCGGCCTGGGCGACAGCTGGATGCACGTGCGGCCGGGTGTTTTTCCATCGCGTGGCCCGTCTATGGCCGTGCATGCCGGGCTTCCGCATGCGTGTTCAGCGGGCGAGGTCCAGATGTTTGTGTTCCAATTTCCCGATCGGAATATCACGAGGAGGCGAGGGAGGCGGAGGTGGAGAAGGCGGAGGAGGAGGGGGTTGTAAATGAGGACGAGCGGGATGGAGAGGTGGCCAGGCCAGAGCACGGGGGGAAGCACGAGAAAGAGCAGCAGCAGAGCGGAGGAGCAGAAGCATCATGGGGTCCCCCCCCGTGATTTCAAACATCTTGTATCATGTATTAGTGCATTTCTGCGGTTGGAGAAAGTATCCCCTTTCCCCCTCCCCCTGCTCCTCGTCCTCTTTTCCCACCCGTCTCCCTGATTCGACTAGTCTTTAACTTTTCTTATACTTTGCCCTCAGGGCTTTGCTCGCGAGCACGTGCGGACCACTGCCTGAAAAGCCTTCCCCAGACAGTGTTCAGTGTTCGCACAGAGAAAGGAGGCAAAGACCGCTCAGGCCGAATAACTGATGGGTAATGGTGCGTAACGGTGAACGACCTTGCACATCGAAGCTGCGCCCCCCCCAGAGAAAACCTAAACAGCAAGAGGAGAAGAGGGAGAGAAGCCCCGCCAGGGGCCCGAGCCCCAGGCCGACAAGGACACGCCCCGAAGGGGCCCGAGGCGAGGGGGAACAGCACAGGGAGTCGCAAGACCAGCTTTCCCAGCTCACTATGGCACAGGCGCTGACCCCAGTGTCGAATCTCTGGCGAGCTCGCCTCGGTAGCTTGCCTCCCCCCCGCCGTGCTTGTGGCGCTTGTGCGGCAGCGCGTGCGCGCCAACCCCTTGGAACCTGGCGTCTTCGAGACGGGCCTGCGCACCCCGGTCAACTTCGCTTCGTCCGCTGCGAGCCCAGCCAGCATCTGAGCAGCTGCCGCAGCGACGGCTGGAACCGCTGCCGGCGCCGCCGGTGCGGTCGTCGGCGTGGCTGTCGGTGCCGTAGCCGTCGCAGCTGTCAGCCGGTCGGTGCTTACTCCTCCTCCTCCTCCTCCTCCTTCTCCTCCTCCTCCTCCTCCTCCTCCGTCTTCGCCGCCAGCGCCCATGTCCACTTTGGCCCGAGGCCGCGCCGCCGCGACTCTCCAGCAACAGGGGCACCCCCGGGTCGCGACAGGGCGCGCCATGTCGTGGGCGCGCGGCTCCCACGGGAAGCGGTGGCGGGGCACCCGGGAGGACTTCCACTGGAACGGGCCCCTCACCGTGACGGTGCAGGCCGCGACGACTGCAGGGACGCCGCCCACGAGCACGGGGACGGCCGCCTCGAGGCCAGCCGCACGCCGCAGACGGTGCACAGCTGCGGGGAGAGCCGCAGCAGCGGCAGCAGCGCGCAGACGGGGTAGAGCCGCAGCAGCCGCAGCAGCGCCGGGCGCGAGGAGAGCGGGAGCGAGAACTGGCAGTGGTCGAAGGCGACGATAGGGGCGAATAGGCCAGGGGCGGACATTACATGTGCTCGCCCCGGAGCCTCGCCGAAGGCATGGACCATCGGCGCCTCTGGATACGTGTATTGCTCTCCCCTGGGCTCTTCGCCCCCGTCGTTGCCCCCAAAGTGGGCCCGCTGCGAGTGCGAGGACGACGCCGCGAGGAAGACGAGGGCAGCAGGTCCCCGTGCCCGCTGCGGCCGGTGGAGGGGCCGCCCTCCGAGGCTCGCGCGGGCTCGCGGCGCGCGGGCCGCGGCTCTCCGCGCTGCACCGGCGGGGCGCCGCGGTGCGGCTATCGGACTGGGCCCCCGCTTCGACGGCCAGGCGGGCACCCTCGCCAGCCGCGCCGCGGGGGGGCGCCCTGCCACTTCTGGGCGCCCCGCCTGCCGGGGCGGCTGGAGCTTCGGGTGCCCTGCGGCAGCCCGCGGGCCGCGGTTTCCTGGCGCGCCCGTGCAGCTGGCGAGCCTGCGGGCCCGCTGGCCGTGGAGCCTCGAGGACTGCGGCCGGGTAGACGGCGACTGCAGCGTGCGGCGTGCCGGCTCGCGGAGGGTGCTCGATCCCGCGACGGATCTCCTGCTCCACCACTTCTTCGGCGTGCTGCAGGGCTGCGGCGCGGGTGAGGAGCACGAGAGCGCCAGTTCGTGGATCATATAGGGCGGCTGAGAGTGTTTCTCGTAATTTGTTCTGGCGGGTTTCAGGATCGATAGTGGCAAGCATTGACCGCTGCTGCTCTTGCTGCACTCGACACTGGGGGAAACGTTGCTGAATGCTCCGCCCGAGTGTGGCTGTGGCAAGTGGCAAGAAGTAGAGCAAGCGTTTATCTCTAGGCGTCGAGTACGCCTCAGAGAGGTTCGAGTGTGAATGGACTTGGGCGAGCCTGCTCGACGCGTGGGTCGTGGAGCTGATCGCCCACCTGTCCGCGGCGGAGTGGCGCGGCCAGGGACGCGCATTTTGGAGGTACCATGAGGTACCAGCAAAATGCCTCAGTATCTTCGCAGCGATCGCAGTAGTTGGCGCCTACCACTTCACCGAGCTGGTGGCGGCGCTCGGCGATATGCCCGTTCTCGTGGTGCACTCGCATGGCGACGAGTGTTTCAAGCTCAACAGAGTTTCCCATATGGGATGAGCTGGCCAGATGCGGCAACCCTCCGACCATGAAGCATCATAATGTTACTGGTGGACTGTGCTTTCTGGTTTCTTGCTTGGTAGCTCCACCAAGAAGTGAGCCAGTGGCATCAGGCTGCGCTTCCCACTACCTTCCTACAAATAGCTAACCGCCTCAAGGGTCTTCTGCAGAATCTCTAGTTCCCTGCACGTTTCGTGGGGTTTCGGTTTTCTCCCCTCCCGCGTCATACCCGCGTTCCTCACACACCCTCTCCTCCTTACATTCTCCCCTTTCCGCCTTCTCCTCCTTGCACCCCGTCCGCGTCGCACCCGCGTCTCCTACCAGACGCAAGCAACACATGCGCGGCATTGACATGAGGCACGCAACCGCATACACCGGTGCACGCAGCACACATACAAACAGCACACATACAGCACATATGAAAGAGCGTGTTCTACCGCTGCTGGCGGAAAACCGGGGGGGGTCACTACCGGTTCGAACCCCTCCCCCCCCCCCCTCCGGAAAACCGGGGGGGTCACTACCCGTTCGAACCCCTTCCCCCCCCCCCAGTTCATCATGAAAAGGGGGGGGGGGGTCACTACCGGTTCGAACCCCCCCCCCCTCGAAAACCGAGTGGGGGTGCGGACAGTGGTGGGGACAGTGTTGGTGGGGACAGTGGTGAGGGGACAGCGGGACAGTGGTGGGGATAGTGGGACAGTGGGACGGTGGGGACGGTAGTGGTGGGGACAGTGGTGGGGACAATGGTGGGAACAGGGGGGACAGTGGACAGTGGTGGGGACGGTGGTGGTGGGGACAGTGGTGTGGGCACAGTGGGAATGAGGTGGAAACAGTGGGACAGTGGAGGGTACAATGGTGGTGGGGACAGTGGTGAAGGCGGTGGCGAGGACGGCGGTGGGACAATGGGACAGAGGTACAGTGGGGACAGTGGTGGGGACAGTGGGGACAGTGGTGGGAACAGTGGGACAGCTCAGTGGGACACGGGCAGTGGTTGGGGCCGTGGAGAGTGGGGAGAGTGGAACCGTGGTGGGAACAGTGGTGGGGACACTGGGGACAGTGCGACAGTGGTGGGGGCACTGGTGGGGACACAGTGGGGACAGTGGTGGTGAGGACAGTGGTGCTGGGAACAACAGTGGGGGATGTGATGCGGACGGTGGTAGGGACCGGGAGTCGTTTGCTGGCGGTGAGTGGGGGGGGGTGGGGAGGGGTTCGAACCGGTAGTGATCCCCCTCCGGTTTTCGAGGGGGGGGGGGGTTCGAACCGGTAGTGACCCCCCCCCGGTTTTCCGGATCCGGAGGGGGGGGGGGGGGGGGGGGGGGTTCGAACCGGTAGTGACCCCCCCCCGGTTTTCGAGGGGGAGGGGAGGGGGGGGGTTTTGAGGGGGGGGGGTCCAGCAGGGGGGGGGGATTTTCGGAGGGGGGGGGGGGGGGGGGGGGGCGACCCCCGGGTTCCGGAGGAAAAAGTTGGCAATTTTCAACAGGAAAGCGGCGGCGGTGGATCACGCTCTCTCGCACATATACACAGGACACATACGCGGCATTGACATGAGACACACGGCCACACACAGCCGCACACACATCATACATATAACATACATACACAGCACCTTCATGAGACACGCGTCAACATACAGCCACACACATACACTCTTCCTCCTCTTTTTGGCGACCCCACCCACACACACACACGCACACCATACAACGATAGTGCAGACCTGGCGTGTTCACTCCGTCATACACCCAAGACGCATGCACCACATACTGAGCACCCACATGAGACACACGTACGCGTACAGCCTGACCCACATGTTACGCATGACGCATACATTGGTTCGCAAAGCGTGGCAAGCGTGGCACCTCCTCGACACCACATGGGGTGCGCAGGGGGTGGTCCCCCTATCCGTTTCGGATGCACAACGCGTGGCAGGCGTGGCACTTCCTCGACACCACAGGGGCGTGCGCAGGGGGTGGTCAGTGGTCCCCTTGTCCGTTTGGGGTTCGCAGAGCGTGGCAGGCGCGGCAGGCGTGGCACTTCCTCGACACCACAGGGGGTGCGCAGGGGTTGGTCCCCCTGTCCTCTTCGGGTTCGCAAAAGCGTGGCAGGCGTGGCGCATTCTCGACACCACAGGGGGGTGCGCAGGGGGTGGTCCCCCTATCAGTTTCGGATTCGCCAAGAGTGGCAGCCGTGGCACTTCCTCGACGCCACAGGGGGTGCGCAGGGTGGTGGTCCCCCTATCCGTTGCGGGCTCGCAAAGCGTGGCAGGCGTGGCATTCCTCGACACCGCAGGGGGATGCGCAGCGGGTGGTCCCCCTATCCGTTG